GTATTTCAACGTTCTTTGTCAGACTACGAAAATTTCATTAAAGCAGCTAAATTTATGTGGTCAACTTGACGCTTAAATACTTGGGTCTTAGTGAAAAAAGTATCAAGTCTTTGGCCGACAAAAAAAAATGGAAAATCCAAAAGTGCACGACTCATAATGCTAATTTAATTATGAAATAATAATGAAACAAAAAATGTGAAAGAAAAGTTTAGAAATCTAAAAGTGTCAATAAAATGTATATATCGACGGTACTTTGGTGAAACCTATATCTCATTTGAAATACATAGAAGATACGAGGTTTTACCAAAGTATCGTCGATATGTATAATGCGCGTTATAACATTGGATTGAAATAAAGAAAAGATTGTAGGTGAGTTTAAAAATTCCACAAAGGCGACTTATTTTGTTATTTAGAAAATAGATTTTGTTATTAAGTAACTTTGGTTTTTGAATAAATAGTTTATTTTTTTTATTATTAATATCGCGACTGAGTTATTAATATTTTAATTTATGTAAATTACTTTCTCCTTTCTTTCCTAATATTAGTATATTATTGTCCCCTGAATACCTGCAGATCGGCCCTGAAAATCTGAGATTTGCTATTTCCTGCTAAAGAATAGCTGGCGTCCAAAATCGTGCACTAACCCAGCCTGAGGAAAAGCTAAGAGTACCTCCCAAGTCATTGTCTGTTTATTTAATATTTTTGGTTAATTGTTGGGCGACCTGGATAAGAATAAGTAACAACCGGCCTCTCCACCGTCAGTTGAAATTTATTTTTTGTTAAAGTTGTAAATAAGGAAAAAGGTGAAAATCAAAATATTTGCCCTTAAAGTGTTTTATTCATCCAATATTTATAAATCTGTTCAATTTTTAAGCATTAAGATTGGTATTGGAGTTGGTGTTACTGTTTCCGGAACTCCTGGAGAAAATATTATTGAAAAGTAAATAATCGATCATTTTAACAATGGTTCTGAAAATATAATTGTTTTAATTATCTTACTCTTTGCTTGGGCTGTGCAGACTTCTTCTGAATGACCCTGCATTAACATTAACATTGGTGTTTGCATTTTCATTAGAATTTTCATTAGAACCCATCGCAACTGGCATCGACATAGGCATAGGCATCGATAATGCTGGATTAATTCCTGCTGGCACGGGTAAATTAGGCATTGCTGCGGGAGAATAACCGGGGTAGTAATTAGGCGATTGCATCACGTTTGGAGGCACTCCCGAATACATTGGTCCTTGATAACGTGGTCCAGGTGATAACTGTCCGTAACCTAATCCTCCATTTGTTGGGTAGTACTAAATTCAATCAAAGTGAATTATTTCATGCATAAGTAGTTCAGAAAATCTCGTAAAATTGTATACTGAGAGAAAAAATTTATTTTGGAAAAAATTGATATTATTGTTATAAGAAATTTATTTGTTGAAAATTTTAAATATTTTTTGTTAAATGTTTAACACTTTTTTAAGTTAATTATAGAGAATTAACTCAAAAAAGTTTTGAATTTACACATGAGATTTTTTGACGCAATACCGCAAAATTTTTTACTATGCACACGGAAAAAAGAAAAAGGGAAAATTTACATTATATAATCTAACGTGGCGCTTCAAATAAAAAAACTGTAATTATTACAGATTTTTTAAGAATTACATTGAAAGCTCTGAAAATTAAAATTCAAAGTTTGAATTTATAAAAATGTTATTTCGTACAACAATTTTTCTAGTTTTGTATGTGAAGCGACGCTTATTACTATTTATAATGTAATTTTTACATTTTTCTTTTTTGCGTGTAGTTTTTATTTAAAAAAATTGCATATTGTAATCCCGAGTCGAAAAATTTAAACTGATTTTAAGCTAAATGATCTGCATTTGAACTTATTGATCTGTATTTGAACTTTAAAAAACATTTTTATCGGTA